CAAATTTCAAAATATAAATATAAAGACTTGGGATTTGTTTGGATTTATGTTTTGTATGGATTTGTAAAATTGTACTGTAAATATAACTTGATCTATTTCATTTTTTGTGTGTGTTTTTTTTTTTTTTTTCTTTTTTTTTTTTTGTTAAGGGTAAGAATATAATATAGGAACTTACTGAACTGGCACCTTTGAAGGGGAGGCTCACAAGCAAAATTTGGGAGTTTTAATTAATTTGTATAAAACACGAATATTTATTTATTCCAAATACAAGTTCTAGAAATATTCAATCATAAAATTTATCATTGGAGTGATAGTTACAACTTTGGATTAACATTGTAGTTAGTGAATAACCATGTACTCTAGTACCAATTTTATTAAACATATCTTAATTTAGGTTTATATAATGTTCAAATATTTATTTTCGTCTACTTATCTCTATAAAACTTTTTTTTTAAGGAGAGATTAAAATTCATTAATAATAAGTCATACGGCACTTACATAAGAAATCGTAATCGAACAATACAAAGACAATTGAACCAATTACAAGTTCAAAATAAAATAAACTACAATTGCACGCGCAAATTGACTTCCTGAAATACCCTTGTCTCATATAACGCTGTCCTATGCAGCCTCTTGCAAGGGGGTCTGGCAATAAGTTGTAGTTTCTGACGTGAACCTTCATTGACTCGAATCCTGTACTCCTCGACCTGAATTCAAAATTGGCGTCGTACACTTTACCATTGACAAGACAATCTCCGATTCAAACACGGATTTCAGCTTGGAAGCATAACCCTTCAGCCCAAACCAAAAGAAGATCAAACCAAAGCCCCATAGCCAAAAAACCTGGCTCAAATCCTGCACCAGAAGATCGACACACCGATCTGCAATCCCCATAGCACACCAACGCACCACATAAAAAGAAAAAATAACAAACCCGAATAAACCACACACACAAAGACAGAAAAAAGAGACCCAAACACCGCACACACCACTAATAGAAAAAACAAAAGGAAACTTAAAAACGAGAACTACGAACGTGACCATAACAACCGACCCCGCAGCCCATCCGAGCACCACCACCAATACTCCGAGATTCACCAACCCAAACCACTCATCGCCGGACAGTAAAGCCCGAACCGCATACGCGAGGGACTCAGAGGGAGATAAATCTCCCTCCCCATTCCCCTACAAAACGTCGCGACGACGGGCAAGGCGGTGGAGCAGAGACACGGAGGGGAAGCTGAAAAGAAGAACGGCGGCAGGCCGGCGAGGAAAAGAGGCAGCCGAAAAGGGTTAGCGGCGCAAGTTGCTAGGACGACCGGATAAAAAACCAAAATGAAAAAAGAAAAAAAAACACCTTAAGGAAGTAGATCAGAGGCTCGCCGACGTTGTGGCATGGGCGGTGAGCCGCACGCCCGCCGGCGATCCTCATGGTCGGAGAAATTTTTGAGAAAAGTAGGGTTTTGGGAGAGAGAGAGCTAGAGAGAGAAAGGCTTGATTCACGAGTCTCCCATACAATTGTACTTATCTCTATAAAACTTTAGCTATGAAATTATAATATTATGTAATTTTTATATACGAAAAAAAAACACATTACAAATTAATAACATCTCGTTTGATAATTTTCTATCTTTTAGATAAGTCACCGAAGCAAAACTATTCAAAAAGGAACTTGTTCACAATATTTTTCTAAAAAAGTGCGCAAGCACAATATAGCAAGTTTTACCCCCCGGGACAAAAGCTAGATGGAACGCGCGCCACGCGCTTTTTTGGAAATACTAAAAACCACCAATACCAGCCCCCGTTTTAAGATTACCAACCTTTTATGCCAGCAAAAATCTGACAGGCCGCGCGGCAATTAGAGTGGTTTCGCTTGCTCCTCAATTGGCGACGACCCCCAGTTAAGCCCCATCAAGGTCCTGCGGTGATCATAGTTTAGCGATGATGCACCCAGTCTTTCCTTCTTTGTCTCGCGAGCATTTCTCGTGGTGGTGGTACACCGACCACTGCCTTGCTGTTCCCCACCCATGTAGATGTGACCTTTGCTTCTTACCGCCCTAAGCGGTAGACGTGGTAGTTTCTTTCTAATCCCTTTGCTAGTGGTAGTTTTCCCTCTTTCATATGATAGCTTGAGTTGTTATGTTTTCTGAGTTCTTTTAACTAAAAAAAATTAAAATAATAATAAGAAGAAAAATTAATGTTTCGTCCATCTATTTGATGATTAATATGATTTTGATACCAAGAACCATTTTCATCTTGTTTTTGTTTGTGAGGTTCATTGGTAGAAGTTTTAGTCAACCTCCTTTTTCTTTTAAGAAGTTAGTTATGGATTGCCAAAAATTGATTAGCGCCCTTATGCACACACACTTGAACGATGATATTGATGAAAGTATCGTCAACTTTGCTACTAATAATTGCCGCCAAAATATCCTAAATCAAGTTAAGGCCTTGAATGAGGAGGGCAACATCCTTTTCAAGAAAGGTGAAGTCGTTCATGCTGGGGCTAAGTATGATAGAGAGTTGAAATTATTGTTTTTGTACTGTCGAGAAATGAAGATGATTGTGTCCTTCTATAAAACATTTGTCATGTCCTTTGAGTTAAACCTTGCAGCTTGTGTCCTAAAACTTCGTGATCATGAACAACCCAAGGGGAATTGTCGCTCGATTGTCATTATGCTTGATGGAAGTAACACTAAAGCCTTTTACAGAGTAGCTTTAGCCGATATCAAGCTCAATCAACTTGAAGAGGCTCATGAAGACCTTGGCAAAGCAGCCAAAGCTAAGCCTAACAACCAGGACATCCTCCGTGAGATAGAAACGGTGGAGGGGCTAAGAACCAAAGCTAGCAAGCTCAAGGGCAAGGGTACTAAGGATTCCGACTTGTGCCATGTCATTATCAACAAAAAGGGGAAAGATCAACAAGCCTTATGTCAATCTAGAATCTAATAGGATGCTTGATAGAGATTCTTAGAGTGGTGTTACGAAATTAATCACCATGGATGCTACTAGTGAGATGATGGTAGAGAGCCTTAAGGGGGGATGATAAGACCACTAGTCCCCTTAACATTCAAGATTTTAGAAAAGCTAAAGACAAGGGATATGATCAGGGAGAACTCATATCTTCTTTAACAAATTGAGAGTTAATTAGTCCCTCAAGATTTCCGCTTTATCTTATTAGGATCTCAATCAAGGAAAAACCTTGAGTTTTTCCACGAGTGAAAGAAAAGACCAAAGCTCACAAAGCAAAGAACTTCAAAGTTCTCGTAACCTTGCTCATGCCCAATAAAATGATGGGTCGGAAAAGAGGAATTGCGCAAGGAAAAGCCAAGAGAATAAGGCCAAGCGATTCCTGGATATCACCTTGGTCAACCATGTTGTTGGGCTTCCCAAGATCAGCACCGTTGTCGTGAAAAAGTTAGATAGATGATCATATATCTATTTGCCTAACCTATAGCAGTAATAAAGGTTCAAGTATCAAGGAGGGGATTGAGTATGAAATTTTTATTGTGGAGGCGGATGCACCATGCTTTGTGCATCCGCTTCTTCTTTAAAAAAGGCAGAATGAACATATAATTGTTCAGTAAAGAACATATGGTTTTTTGTAAAGAACATATAGTTATTTTATAAAGAACATCGCATATGGTTGTTTTGTAATGAACATATAGTTGTTTTGTAAAGAACATATAACTATTTTGTTAAAAAAAAATCCAACTTTATGTTCTTTGTATATATGTAAAGAACATTCGTAACATTAATAAAGAGCATGATAATATAATGTAATGAATATTTCTTTTATTCAACAAAAAAAAAACATAATAGTATTTTTTAAAGAACATTTAGCTTTTTAATCTTTAAATGAATTATTTGTTCCATAATTGAAGAGTTTTGGTAATTATTTCCCAATCTCAATTTAGAAATTTGTATATTTCCTCATATTTAATTTCACTTGTTTGAAATTTTTAGAGAGAGGAATAAAAATGTTAGAGAGAGAAATAGAAAATTTATAGAGAAAAAGAAATTCTTGTGATAGAAGACGATGGCTACGCATTTAGATCGAGTTTCGCAGTGCTTCTAATCATTGTTTTGTTAATGGAGTGATTTTTAATGAAGGTGAATATGTGGATTTATTAATCAAAGATCGAAGGTAATTTTGAATGAAATTTTGTATTTATTTTTTCTTTAATTGTGTTACTTTAGATTTCAATTAGAATATACTGTAATCATAAAATTCATTGTTTAATTTACCTTTTTAAAATTTGATGAATCTGGATATAGATGTTGAATTTGAGAACAATGTGACAAAGGTTGAAGATGATGTTCTTTATGAGATAGTGTTATGTTCATTTCTTGAATCTTTACAATTCAATAACATGTTCTTTTCACCTTAACTAAATGTTCTTTTCATTTTAGCTAAATGTTCTTTACGTCTCTATACAATGTTCTTTCCGCTTTTTTTTGGAACGGATGCACCATGCGCATGGTACATCCGCCTCCACAAACCACTAATTGTATTGAGTATTCTGCGAGATTTTTAACTACCAATGACATCGCTAAAGTGAAATCTTTAGGTTCTAATGATGAAGACCCCATGAATTTTGAACCCGACCAGGTGCAATTTTTTTCCACCACTCTCTACCTTCACGTTTTCTACCTCGTCAAAGAAGTTTGGAAGGCCAAACAGATCAAGGGTGAAGAACAAGAAAGGTAAAAGGTAATAGAGGGTTTGTTTTTACAGGTTCAAAAAACACAAGGGATGAAGTGTGGAACAACTGATGGCTAGTACTGGCGATGTGTCTCCTCAACTCCCTTATTTGCATTATCATGTAGTCCACAATGTTTGTACCCCCTATCTCCTTTTTAGCACTTGTATTAGTATGGTTACGAGAGTCAAATGGTCAAATTGTAGTATTGAGTCAATTGGGAGCTAGCCTCCTTTTTGACCCGAAATAATAATAATAACAATAGTAATAAAAATAATAATAAAAAAAAAAAAAGGAAAGGAAAGCAACAAGCACTATTTAACAATGGGCTCAAGGTCAACTAAGCAACCTTAATAATATAATATACTCGTACAAAGTATGTTGTAAGATTCTAAGACTACATGAGTAATTCTTGTAATATTTCCTTTGAATAAAGAATATCCTACTCCCTAAAATCTAATTTTCATGTAAAATCTAATTTCCATTGACATGTTTATCATTTTTGTTCGAGTATGGAGGATAAATTGTATCAAAAATAATTCTTGACAACATATACCGCACTTCATGCAAACTCCCAATAGCCAATGACTCATAGTTGATCTTAGTCCCATGCTTTGGCGCGAATCCATTTTCCCTTCCCTTTGTAACACAACTTATAATCCTCTCTGTCCGCAATTGCAGTGGCAGTGAAATGAAAACCTGTAAAAATTAAGAAAGGAAAGCAGATTAGCAAAAATTATCCACCCTTGTATAATCTAGCTTAAACCAACAAACAACTTCAGTGATGATTTTATTACATCAAGCAATAAACTAACCAAATCTGAAAATGGTGCTTGTGGATACTTCGCCATAGCTTGAGAAACAATATTCTCATCAGTCATCTGACACAATGCTATTTTAACAGCAGCAGCAAGATCTTTGACTTCATTTTCCAAATTATCACCCATATTTTGATTTTGGTCTTCAAGTAATTCACGGAAACCTGAAGCATGTGGTCGAGTGATGCTCTTAGCAATGTTAATCGCTTCAGATAAAGAGCCACCATTGTGGACAGCTAGACAGAAAGCAGCTATAACCAAAGGATCCCGTGGTTGGTCAGCCAATGCTTTGTGAAATGCTAATAAGCATACCCTGCAATGTGATGCAAACAATTAGAAATCGAAAGGCTCGAGTCTGATGGATGGATGTATTAAATATTAATAAACCTATATACATAAGGATCATGGGCTCCATAAAAGTAAAAAATTCAGTCGGGACTTGCATCAAAACAAAAACAATTAAAAATAATCCCAAGTGAAATGCTACTCCCTTTGTCTGATGAATTCTGTAAAATTTGTGATGCATCAGGTTAATGGGGAGTGGCATTCTAGATTTCTAGGTAGTGCAATATGACTAATATTTTGAGGAGGAGGATAACTGAGTTCAATTCAAGGTTATTTTTTGTAATCAAAAGTGACTTTCTTCATCCCATAATATCCAAATTGGCACGGTGATCAAGAAGAGTAAAACATGGAGAGAAAAAGTGGGAAAGTGAGTGTGAGGACCAAGCATAGAGAAGACGCAGAGGAAAAGCCTACTAAACAAAGTATTCAAGAGAGAGAGAGAGAGAGAGAGAGAGAGAGGGAGGGAGGGAGAGAGAGAGAGAGGGAGGGAGGGAGAGAGAGAGAGAGGGAGGGAGGGAGGGAGAGAGAGAGAGAGGGAAGGAGAGAGAGAGAGAGAGAGAGAGAGAGAGAGAGAGAGAGAGAGAGAGAGAGAGACCAAAGTGATACCATGAGACCTGCACCAAACTTTTCACCAAACTTTTCCTAATATTAACCAAATAGGGTAATGGAGCAATCTCAAAAGGATACCCAAAAAGGAATATGGGGCAAACAAAAAGGGTCCTAGGGAGTAGGAACTAGAAGTATCAAATCCAAGTCACCTGATACTTTAACATACAGCATTTTCAGCTATAATAACAACCTATAAGCAGCAACATCAAATACTGATTGGTCCATGCAATAGCAATCAACCAAAGCTACAATTATCTAGGCAGGTGAAATTTCTTACCACAAGCTGCTATGGCATGGACGATCTGGTGCTAGGAGTTTATCCAGATTTGAAAACAAAGACTGCAGACAAGTTAAACACAATATAAGCATGTAGCACATTGTTGGCTAGAATAGAATGACTGAAACTTAGTGGTGGAATACTATGAATTATTAGTGACCAAAAGTACAAAACAAAGAGATTAAGGACTGAAACGAGAGATTAAGGCTATGTTTGGATAACAAAAAATGGAAGGAAAGGAAAGGAAGGGAAAGGGAGGGAGACAAACTTCCTTGTTTGGATAATATGTTGGGGGAGGGAAGGGGAGGGGGAGGGAAGGGGAGGGGGAGGGATCCATTTTCCCTCCTCCTTTAATAAAGACCATCCCTTCAAAATTGGAGAGATTTGGAGGGAAAATGGAGCTCGTCATTTCCTCCACTTTCCCTTCCTTCCCCTTCCTCCTATTTCCCTCCCTTCCATTTCTCTTCTAATTGTTATCCAAACATAGCATAAGGGACGAAGAAGTAAGATAAAGGAAGAACAATTAAAGATATGACTGAATTAGTGCTAACCAAGGTGCAAATCACCAATTACAGCCTTGCCAATCTTTCGAGAGGAAAGACACACTCCCAAACTTCATCAATCACTGATCAAAATATTCAACATGATTATCTCTCTCTAGCTATCTCTATTTATAGAGAGCATTTACCTAACAAACAAACTAACTTCTCCTTCAAGCTACTAAAATTTAATATCATTGGAATATAACTAGAAATTCAATCAAGGTTTGGCATAAAAGCTAAGGGATGAATTACTTGAGTTAAGCAAGGAAGAATTGAATGGGTCAACTTCAGTGGGCATATTTCTCAAAATATTATGAATTTTGACATCATTTAAGTTGGATGTGAATCATGCTTCTCACAATAGATTCAGCTTCTTCATACAGCAGATACTATTTGGAGGGCAGTCAATCAATATGTTGCCCACGACCATGAATGATAAATTGCAGGCGACATTGAACGTACTACAAAATGATCATAGTGATCCAGAAGCCAATGTAAGAAAGAGGAACCTGGGAGCTAATTTTAATCAGGTACATAAACATTACAGTAAACTTAGCAGCTGCCCCTCAAAGCGGCTACAAATATTTTGTAATCACATGCATAATATAAGGCTTTTTTTTTTTTTTTTTTTTTTTTTTTTTTTTTTTTTTTTTTTTTTTGCAGACAATGTCATATATTCAGGCAATTCAGCTGCATTTATATTACACTTATAACACTAAACACAAACTAGGGAAAGAATGAAAGGTTTTTTAATTGTAGAAGAAGGCAAAATTTTCCTCTTACCAGAAGCAAGTTAGACCTTTTGTCTCTCCTTCGAAAACCCTGTGAAACAAAATATGCTGCCTGCAGGCAAAAAGTAACAGTTATGTATAAGAAATAAAATATGGACACAGTAAGAAGTCAGGCAATTGTCCTAACATGAAAAACATAAAGATTTCATACCTGTAAAGGTAAGAGTATCTCTAGAAGGCCATACTTCCATAGTAACCTTAAAGAAGCTTCAGCAGACCCATAAGCCAGCATATAATTCAACTCCATAAGGATCCTTCCCTGCAGCATTCTGTGAGACTCTATGTGTGAAAAGCAAGAGAGACAAATCATAAAAAGAAGTAAAGGTATAGATACCTTGTCAAGCCTTAGCAATGAGTAAGATAATTCTTTCAAAGAAAGTGCGAGCTCTTTAGTAAATTTAAACTCTAAGCGTGCTGCAATTCTAAAAGCGCGTAAAATTCGAGCTGCAAAATCAGAATTTATCTGTAAGATGATGTACCAGACGAAGATGTAATGGTATTGGTATCCCAGATTATAGAAATATAAAGTTTCAAATCTATTAATTACATGGTCGATTTTCAATCTTTCAACAAGAGAGTTATATCAAAGACAGAACAATGAGAGAAAATTATTAAGCTTACCACAATCTTCCGTGAAAGAAGAAAATGCCGGGATTACTGTCCGCACCTACATGAGCACAAAAAATAAGCATTTGATAACCACAATGGGTGAGAGCAACACGAGAGAGAAACAAACCCTAGATTTTTTAATATCTTCAATTCCACCGATATAGTCATATACTAGCTTTGAGTAAGGATCAAACATCAGCCTGCAAATATCACCAAGGAAAATAGGGTGGGAAAGTTTCACAAATAACTAACTTCGGAGAGTGGATTGATGAGAGAGGCAAATGACAATAGTAAGATTATAATAGGATCATTCGAATTCAACCAGATTAGTTAAGCCAGAACATGCAATCTGAAATATCTGACTTACAAAAGTCATGTAAATACCCGTTAATCGTAAAGTCTCGCTGAATACAATTTCTCCAGCGAATATAATCGTGCTCGTCACATCCTCGAGGCCTTCTGAAAAGATGATCAGAATTCTTCCTTGGCTTCTTTGCAACAGTGCTAAAGCTTGACACCTGTTCTGACAATAAAATGCCTCAAGTTGGAAAACTGAGATGTTGACAGAGAAAAGTTGCCAACTAAAGAAAACTGACATAAACATAACTCTCACTCTCTGCTCTTTTTTTTCCTTCTTTCCCCCCCCCCTTTCTATTTAGGGATGTCACTCTAATTTCACGCAATAAGGATTGCAAACCTCAATAATAGAATCCGCTACATGCACATGACAAATAGGAAATCGCCTTCCAACTATTTCACACCGAGGAAAGCTTCGAACAACCTGAAAGTAATACAGAAACAGTAAAATCAGAGACCATCATAGTCATGTACATCTTACTTAAGGATATGTATAGGCCACTAACTGACCACAGAACCAAATAAGATCACTTTGGCAAGAGTTCAGCCGCTTTCTCCCCATGGGGAGCAAATAGGCTTCCTTATCCAAACATAAAACACTCATTTTATAGTAGTATAGTGTTCTTATAGCCAAGTTAGGAAGTTCAATTCAAAACACAATAACACATTCTTATCCTAACATAAACATCCCTCATTCCATTGCACCATCTTATCAATGCATACGATATCACACAATAGTGTTCTTTAATCCAAGTAATGAACGTTCAATTCAAAACACTGCCTTATCCTAACATAACAATATAACATCCCTCATTCCACTTCACCAAAGACTTGGGCCATTTGAATGTCTTAATAGAACAAACATAGATGAAAAGGAGTGACGAGAATGTTGTGTTGGCAATAGACAAACCTCCTTAAGCTCAGCTGAAGTGATGATGTCAAAATCCTTGGGAATTCTCTTCAAGATGAGGTCGCGCACGCACCCTCCAACAAGGTAAACCTGGTATCCTGTGAGATAAGTTTATGAAAACAGAAAAGCCACTATAAGTCATAAATTGCAGACATACAGGTACACAAAGAGAAAATTGATCCTACAAAATATATTTATTGAAAGGAATTGTATGATAGTTTTAAAATAGTAAAGAGAAAGACAAACCCTTGTTCTTGAGGGATTTAAGAACATATTTAGTATGTTTATCAATCATGGAATTAGTGATGCCAAGTTGTTTGGAACTCAACGTCTTCCACTCTCGAGTTTTACATTGAATACCACCAACTCCATTAACTACACCTTCAAAACCAAAAACTCAATCAACAACAACAACAACAACAAGAAATCAAGCAACAAGAAATCAAATTTAAGCAGAATAAAAACCTGGTGAATTAGGGGTAGGTTTAGGAAGGGTTGGATGAACATCATCTGCTTTGGGAGATTCAATAGCAGAAACAAAAGTAATGCGAGGAAACTGCAAAACCCCAGAAAACCCAAATCAAAATTGAATCAAATGAAAGTAAAAGAGAGAAAAATGAAAGAAAAAATGCAAAAATGGAAGATTAGTTTACCTTGGCAACACAACAGATGAAAGGAGGACAAATTGCAAAGGGTCGTTTACTGTAACCCAAACCAATTCCTATTGCAGCAGCCATTGCCATTTTCAGATTCTTCACATCACAATTCTTCCCCTTTCTTCTGAATTTGAAAGTTTTGCAGGTTTAATTGTTGATTTCGCTATTTTCACTTCATTTTCTGGGCGGCATTAAGGCTTCAGAGTAGCAGGTTTTCTCATCCTTCCGTAAGATTCTTGGTTTTGGGAGGGATATTTTTAGCATTTGGGCCTATGCTTCTTTTGGTCAATGGTTACCTTTCAGGCCTTTGACATCTAAACAAAACACTACTAGTAGTCTAGTACTAGTTCTGTTTAGACAAATAACCACTACATGGTCTATGTCTTCTAGGTATTTTTGGATAGGTAAAAGGAATTGGAGTAAGTATAGACCACTATCAGGTATGGATAGTTGGAGTCCATACCACAATAAAAAAAATTGTAAAATTTAAAAAGCTAAAACAAAATGGAAAAGGAAGAAGGATTAGAGGGTGAAAGAAACAGGAACTCAAAAAACTACCACTCACGAGAAAAAGCTCCGATGGTCGGAAAATCAGCCCCACAAAAACCCCATCAAAGTTGCAGGAATCTTCCCTTCGAGGAGCGGTGCTCGATGTACTGAAGGTGAGAATTTTGTGGCTAATTCAAATTAAAGGAGTTATTCGAAGGTTGGTTGATGAAAGATGATAGTCGAAGGTTGACGAAGAATGTTCAAGGTCTATACTTACAATTGCAGCCATGAAAAATGGTGGGTTTAATTCCCAGAGATCGAAAGATTTTGGATATGAGGGGGTAGAGGTTGGTTGTCGGTGCTCCATTATTATTGACTTGTATACTGTTATTATTGAATTGTATACTGTTATGGTTAATTTTAATACAGTTATCATAGAGTTGAATACTGTTATTGTAGAATTGTAAGAGGAGAGAGAATATTTTTTTTACACCATAGTACAATCTGATGACTTGCCATGGAAATATTGCGCAAAATTACATATTTACCCCTGGTATGGACCCAATGAGTCCATACCTGGTAGTGGTCTATCACTACTCAAGGAATTGTTCTATCTAAGCGAAATCTTGCATGAATTATGGTATGTTTTCTTCAGCTTAATTTCAGTTCAGTTTCTAATTTTCTTCTCTCATAAATAATTCAGTTTAGTTCAGCTCCAATCAATTTAATTCAGTTCAGTTCAGTAAATCAGAACAAGCCCTTGGTCCAATTAAAGTGAACGGGCTAGCTCATTTGGAGTGGGAAGAAGAGAGAGATCACCAATCATATTGGCTTAGCTTAACTTGGTTGTTTGCAAATATGGGATAGAAAAATTCTTGCACGTAATCCTTCTTCTACAAAGTATTTGGTTAAAAATAATGATTTCTTATAACAACTTACACTAGTAAATCATAATAAAGTAAAAAAAAAGTTACATATTATCGGTATATAATGCCTTGTTCTTGTTATTTGGTGTTTACCAAGCTTTAAAAAAAAAGGTTTCAATCTACGAGCTTCATTGATCTTAAGTGAATGTGACAAACTGACAACCAATTCTACTATCAACTCTAATACCACAACATCACTTGTAAAGAGGAGCAAAACCCCCTATAACAAGTCAATTAGTACTTATAGAATTTCATTGTGGATCATTAATTTATTATTAGTAATTAGTAATTTTTCCTTAATATATACTCTGCGTTATTACTACATATAGTCATATAGATATGAAGGTAAAGTTTTATTAACGTGGCATAACAAAATGAGAAGCAAATGCATCCATGATAAAGTTAGGACCACTAATATAAAGCCGGACTTTAGTGAAGTATTCCAAGGCCAGTTTTCAGTTTTCACCCCCTTCACATATCTTCTCTCCATTCCTAAGAAGCATGCAAAACAATGGTCAACATTAAGTCCTTGAAAACCATATAATCCATATTGACTCAAATGATACATACATACAATACAAAGTATTATTAGCATATATATAAATAATTTTACTACATACATAGTCGATATAGATATTGATATTGATATTGATAAATGATACGGAGTAATAATAACCGTTTGATGTCGGCTTCAGTAGTAATCGAACTCAGAAAGAACAAAAACTAAAAATGAGAGTTACATGCAAAGTTGCAGGCCATTTGATAGCAAAACCACGTGGTACAAACATGGGCGCCGACTACTTAAACAACCGATATATGTTAATGTATGTATGTAGATGCTCTTTTGACTATGGTTTTCTGGCTTTAGTACTACTAGTGTATCGTTTTCATGTTCTGTTATATATGCTAGCTGGTCCCTAACTATCTAACTCATAATCTTTGAACTCCTCCGTTGTTCTAGAGGATGCAACTAGCATTCAAGTGCCCCCCATCCTCCTACTTTATCCTCTTCCTTTTTCTCCTCTCCATGGGATGTATGCGATATATGTAATCACGCCAACATTAAAGAAGAGAGTGTAACCATATATAATTAAGTCTAACACGGTGTAAGATTACTACTTTATAAAATCAATTGACAACAGATAGATAGATAGATAGTCCATTGGACTTGCAATTTGTATGTGAGTTTTATATTAATAAAACCGGACTATATACATGGCAAGACTTTGAAGGGGCTTTAAATTAGTAAATCATAGCCTCCAAAGGCCCAATTGTCCATTAATAAAAGGGTAATACAGAGCATGTTAAAACTAACAGGTCTTTTTATTGGTCTGTCCCCTCAACAATCAAGTCTGACTTCGCCTCTAATAGTATACGTTACCACACTGTATGTACAACATATGTAATGTATATAGCCAATTAAATTGAATTTCTACCAATGCAATCAATTAGATTTAACATGATCTTATAAATCAAATTCAAAAACTCTTGTTTATCCAAGAAGTTTTGAGAAGAATGCACCACTTCTTAAATGGTGACTACACTACTAGCTAGTGTTGCATAGGAAATCAGCCGCACATGAAAAATCATACAGGGAATGGAGGTTAATTGTGTTCATTCTCCTGGGCATATGCAGTTACAATTCTGCTCAAAAAAAGCGACCACTCATGATGCAATATATTTTTTGACAATGACAGCCTTAGACAGTCATAGTATATATATATATATATATGTACTGAATGGTCATTGCTTGTGTATAATATAGGGAACAAGACAGAATACGAAAGGGAGACAGAGAAGTCGAAGGAATGACAAAAAGAAAGACAATGTCTTAGAGAAGAAGAATAATACAACACAAAATATTAGCAAGAAAGATGAGAACAAAGAGGATGCATCAGGTTGTAAAGATGGTTGTGTGTATGTAAGGGCCAAGAGGGGTCAAGCCATAGACAGTCATAGTCTTGCTGAAAGGGTATGCCTTCAAAAAATATATTTTTTATTTTTTATATTAAATACTTGTATTGTATTATTATAGTAAACATTAATTTGAGCAAATAATTAAACATTTCTTATGAAATACACTTTATTTAATTCTTTCAGGTAAGAAGACAAAAAATTAGTGAAAAGATGAAGCTCTTGCAATCCATTGTTCCTGGTTGTGACAAGGTGCGTCAAAATTGAACTGATTAATGTTGTTCGTTTCGTTGTTTCAAAACATAACATTAAGCATTTTTACAGATAGCAGGAAAAATCCCAACACTAGACAACATAATAGAGTATATTCACACATTACAGGATCAAGTCAAGGTAAAATACTGACAAAGTCATGCAAAACGAGAAAAACATATTATTCATAGATGTCTTTAAGTACTCCTTTGGTTTTATTCTTTTCTTCCTTTTTCCTTAAATTAACAGAATTTGACCTGATAAATTGTCATTAATTATTCACTCTAATTCTCACATGTATGTGTTTCCATGTAGTCCCTAATGACAGAGATTGCTTTGGTTGATCCCACATTTGATGTCAATTATCTTGCCTTAGAATCGATTGTGACACATCTAGAGGTATGTACAACTCTTATTACTATGTGAGATTTTTACTGACTAGTTGATTATTAAAGGTAAAGCTTTCGACTTAATATTTTTCTGTGTGTTTGTGTGTGTGTGAATGTGTGACAGAATTCGTATGCTACGACTGATGGTTCAGAATGCACAAGGTTAGCAACTCAATATCAGTCCATCCCTTTGTATGGAAGCAGTGCTCAGGCGGTATCTGCACTTCCCTCACCTTGGCTTGCTCTTTTAGAAGACCGGGAATATACAATTTAATTTGATGCCTTATGTCTTGTTTTAAGAGTAATCAACCCCCCTCATTCACTTATTTTCTATGGAATGGGGGCAGAGGTGGTGCATGTATGTTATATATGTCGTCGGATTGTGGATATAAATAAATGGAATGCAGTACAATTAATTTTAAAAAGGTTTAAACTTCTAATAGTTGCACCAACAAACTGTATTTGGATTTAACATCTCCATGTATGTAAGGAGGATGTTTAAGTTTTGATCTCTATGACCAATTAATGCTATAGAGTTTAGACTGATAGTCTACCGCGATTTTATTACAATAATGCTTATAGAACAATTAGTTTTTAGATGGTATCATGTATTCCATGAAACATGATCCATTGGCAAGTCAGAGAACTCGAAAGTCTGCAATGGGGTAAGCCTTTCAAGTTGACATGAATCTTGGCCATCAGTCAATGTAGCATTGCCATAGGGATACGGCGTGCTTGGTCTCGCTTCCACTTCCATATCATCTACTACAAAAAAGTCTGAAAGATTGTCCATGTATATGTAGCTGTTGGAATTGTTTGTGACACCCAAGTTGGAAACCAAGCAGCCACTATTATTCTCATTAGTATTAGTATTAGCATTATTAACCGAAGACTCTCCAATAATATGTTGTTCGGCTTCCTTTGATGCTCCGATCACCTGCTCATTAGGAATGTTACATGTATATAATTGTAATAAACCATTCATACTATGTATTATGATATATTTTGTTCTAAGAAATAAGTAATCTAGACTAATGAACTTACGTATCTTCTTCTTTCTTCATCTATGTAAATGCCAATATAGTCCCCTGCTTTCAAATCATGGACTTGAACAAAATGTCCTACAAGATGCAAAATCTTCTCAATGCATACACTTAATTGAATTAAACAATAATCGAATTTGTTTGTGCATTAAAAAGTGTCACAAGTAAGAATACTTCAATTTCGAAATGTTGAAGAAGGCCCTTACGAGTTCCTTCTAGGGAATGGACTTTGGACTTGTTTGTGACACGGTATCTGTTCCATAAAAGGGGATGAAACAAAGTGATCATATTACTCGTTATTCATTATATCATAGTACATGTACAATCCTACATACTTTTTTTTTTGAAGAAACAATCCTACATACATGAACATATCTTTATATATTGTGAAAGGGAAATAAAGCATACTTAAATCTGAAGCACCAAATTCCTTTAGTTTCTGTATCTTCCATATATAGTCGCATACCATGTCTCGAGCTTAAATAAGGCAAATGAGTTTCAGCATCCCTCTGTTTTGGAATCATATAAGACTATATTAGGGAAAAGAAATCGATTTTAATGATATATAAATCGTATTTCTGGACCAACAATAATTATAGTTAGAAGGTTTAGCTGACCCTAGGAATGATAATTTTGTTTTTCTTCAAGGCATCACTGTGTGTAAGCTCCTTGCCGAAGAGGAACCTCAAAGGCCTTGCATTGTTTACCTGTATGTACGTGTATTCATCAAGTTTGTTATGAGTGCTAAGGTTCGAAAAAGGGCCTGAAGTTCATAGCATTGACAATAATAAACTGAATGAAACGGCTTAAGCAACAATAATGCCCTTTTGATTTGATTTAACAAATTTGGGACATGCTATATTCTTGATTACAAAAATTATAAATAGGTTTTTGCTATTATGATCAACTAAATTAATTCAAGGTTACAAATATTGTGCACTAGTACCAACTTGTAACGTGAACAGTATGGCTTGCACGCGTGGCCTAGGGAGCATAATCCCTGCGCCACAAAAAGTGAGAGATAATCTAACATAAATTGGTTCAAATCAAGTGCTAAAAATTAGTTGCATGGATCATTGGTGCACAACCTTGTTCAATTCAGCTATAATTTTTTATTTAAGCATGGTAAACATGTGCAAGCGCGAGTTTGATATAATGAGATCAACGAAATTTTTGTGCCAAACACAAATGTACTCCGTAATCAATCATCAATCTAGGAAAGACTACTGATAAATTTTTATGTGACCAAGAAAGTGTACTAATTATTTAATTAAGGCCGTATACAGTTAGAAGTAGTGCATGCAGTGATGCAGGGAGGAATAAAAGGAGACAGTAAACAAAGAGTTAAGGCGCTTACAGTCAGGGGAGCAACAGTATGGTAGTATACGGTAGAGGGAATAGGTAAGGATGCATGCCATTCGGATTGACCAACAGGCATCATCAAAGAATTGATGTTGAGAATCTGCTGCTGCTGGCGCGAAATCTCTGATGCACAAGAGCACGTTCCCTCACTACTGATAACATTTTCTGAATTATTATTATTGATTCTTTGAAGAGGAGGCCACACCCAGTCCTTGTTACATGACATGCGTGTTCCACCTATTGCACCACCGTGACCCTGGCCTGATAAAAATGGCCCTAAATTCAGGGTGTTACCTCTAGAGCAACCAGATACCATGATGAAAAAAAAAAATGTTTAGCTATTAGCACCAAACTGCCTTTTACAACAACTTAAAAATACGAAGTACAATAGTTGCAATGTGCAAACTAATACTAACAGCTATATATATACTCGTATATAAAATTATAACTGATTTTCCAAACTCGAGTTTAAAATTTAAAAAATAAAGGAAAAAGGAAACATATATATAAGTGTACAAATTTATTTGGGTTGAAGAGTATATGTATTAGTGTTACTGCATGTACATACACCCCTATCAGATGAACGCTTGTCAATCAGGATCATTAACTCTCGTTAACAAATTTAACAAAGGAAGAAATAGAAAAAGAAAAACACGGTATCATTCAAGTGTAACAAATTCAGGAGTTATAGACACATTATTTTTGGGTTGAAGGTTACAAATTTCAGTTTTATATTTGTCTTTTTGCTGATTATTACATCCCTTTTTCTACATGTATCAGGGTGGATTTGATTACATTAAATAGTAAGTTGTGTGTGATGTTCGTATATTTTGGATTTACCTCGACTCATGTTTCATCATGCAACCTGTTGTACCTTGCGTGAGCACATAAACACAAGTTACTTGCATAAAATGTTACATTTTCACAACGATTATATACTTAATGTACACTAAACAACAATTGCCAGCTCAATCACTAAGTTAAGGGTATATATGCAAGTTCTCGTGAAGACAAAGCAAATGATAATTTTTTTTTAAAAAAAAAAAATAAATAAAATTATTCTGCTTGATATCCAATATGATACACAATGGTCAACCTTAATAAGTAGCTAGGATGCTGAGTAGAATCAACAAAGATTTCTCAAAAGTTTAATGTAGACAGCTAAGCATGCAAGTATTGCATAGCTAACTTCCTTATAATTTGTTGTATATACTCGAGTGTACCGTACAATTTCTCAACTTCTTCGGAGGTTCATGGCCTTCGAACCATATTTTCTTGCTTTAGTAACTTTTTAGTTTGATGTAAAATTTATTTCTTTTTATTTATTATTGGTTTTTAGAGAGTCACAACGGCGAGTGATGTGAATTAATCACTAAATGTTCTAGACTCAGGGGATAAATTCTAATAACCAATTAAGCTATCTGACACTCTCTATTTATTTTTTTCTTAACTTGATGGGCATTTTAATTTCCTCTAATTAAGATATGGAGACGGTTATGTTATGTGTACCTTTCTACTACAGTCCTACCTCATTTATAATAGTTGGCTCGATTCTTTTATCGAGCTTGCCAACGCACAATTTTAACGATTAATATCTCTAATGGTTAACATTATTGTAAAAAAAAAAAAGTAATTAAAAAGTGGATATTTGGCTAACTGAAAATTTGCTTATTGCTTAGGGCCTGTTCACATTTACTGAACTAAGTTGAACTGAATTGAGCTGAATAGAGCTTAAATAATGAATATTTTATGAGAGAAGGAAATTAAGAGCTGAACTGAACTGATTGGAGCTGAAGTGAACCAAACTGAAATTAAATTATTGAAGTGAACAGGCCTTAGTTTTTAGCAAATTTGTGAGCACAAATTTAAAAAGACTTATAGGAACATATACTAATGTATTAAATTAATATTGCCTTGAATCATGATCAATAGTGAGTGTTATTGTTATTTGATTGGACCTGAACTTATCTGAATTTATTAGATCTGATTTAAATTTTAGATCTAATAAAAATTAATATAAGGTAAGAGAATTTCATATCGACTAATACAAATTCATTTATGGTAGTTCAACTAAATTTGAAGGTTGGAAAAGGATCAAATAATGTGAATCAAGGTTTTCTTCAAAAGGTCTCGCTAAAAATGAGTTAGGATTCAATCATTTGGTCTGTTAACTTGATTGGTGTGAGAATCTTATTAGAAGGAAGGCTTAGTCAAAGAAAAAATAAAACATTTATTGCGCAATTTTTTTTTCTTTAAACATTTATTTCGATAAAAGTCTTAACCAACCTTTTTATATGACTTGAATTTCTGGATTTTGGTTGAATCTGTAACGAATCCCCAACCACCTATGGTAACGAACTTGCTTCTTACTTATTTGTTATCATGTGTTCTTAATGGGAATGCAAATCCTAAAAGTTTGAGGAGGTTCCAGGTTGTTTGGCAAGATTTGGGTGTTAGTAGACGCTCATGCAATTTATCTTTACATGAACACGTGTGCATTTCACATGACGTTGCATGCACGTGGAATGCGAGTCATTGATAGTTGGAGGGAAGCCATATTACAAGCCAACATAAATAAATAGCATACAACATATAAATTTAAATATAAAAATCATTTTGATTCCACAAATTAAAACATGAATAAAATAAACCAGTTACAAGTCAATTTTATGCATTGTTATTAAAATAAATAAAGAGATTTAAGAAACATAATCAAGTTTAGTTACAAATTGAATGACCTAACATCTAATGTACCTATAAAAGGAAAAAATTGTACATATATCATTAGTATATGTCAAAGAGGATTCACGATTCATAAATTACACAAACAAGTTATATTCATTTAAATATTTTCAGTAATATAAAAATAAGGTGAATTATGTCATATAATTTACTGTCATCTCTGGAAAGACCGACTTAAGTAAGAGAGATCAACTTATTGTAAGATAACAAAATCAACTTGTTATTGTAATCATTTCTATATCAATTTACCTTCCTAATTCAAATCCATAATAAGAATGGATAATTTTTTTTTTTTTGAAAACATAAGAATGGATAATTTGACATTACTAGATCAAATACCAGAATTAAATCTTTTTTAGCCTTTAGGTAGCACAGAACAAGTGTTAACACAACTACCTATCTCCGTTAAATGTTATGTGCAACTTTAGAATTTTTTTTTTGAAAGACTTTAGAATATTTTATATTTTACAAATAATACCCCAAAGTTACACATAAGAGGTAATCTAATATATATATATATAAAGGGGAGTTTTTTCCCGACTTTTTAGAGAGCCACATAGGATCTAATTTTCTTAGTGTGTCATGTAGGATTATAAATTTTAGTAGTAACCAATTAAATAGGAGATTATTAAAATCTTTTATAATTAAATAATTCAAATGCCACGTAAGCAAAATTGGCGAATGAGATTTTCCAATTTAAATTAATTAAATATAAAATATTATCTTTCGATATTAGGAATTTTGTCTAAATATATAACAAATTTTAGCACATAAATATATGTATAAAAAAAATTATTTTTAAAAGTTCAAACAAAACGTGCATCGCACGGGCTTCATCTAGTATATTATTAAGGGGCTCAAGTGAAAGTTTTTCTATGAATCTTAAAAATAATCGGGAAATTCTCACTGGTAACACTCAACTTCTGTTTTTTCTCAATGGTAGAATGCTAAATTTTGGATTATCATTGGTAATCACTAATTAGTAGTACTAATTTACTGGTAACATTAATGAAACTTTTACCTAATTATCGACTAACCATGGTTTACTAATAACAAAATTACAAACCTATCCTTCTAAAAAATCACTTCCCTCCTTAATCAATTACCCCTTTATTTAAACCCTAAATGATTATTGCGCATCCTTCCACTGCTATGCAGGAGTGCAGGACTTCTTCAAGGTCTTTCTTTCCATTTTCTACAGCAGAAGTATCCTCAAGATACTGGGATTCAGATTTTTCAACATAAACTGTCCATTTTGATATTAATATTAATTAATTGGATGAAAAGTTTATTTTTATTACAGAGTATGCATAACAAAGAATATGTTGAAGAAGTGATACGTAATAATTGCCCTTTTTTCCCCTTTGGTATTGGTTTGACTAATTATTAAGTTCACCATCAATATTTGTGAATAATATAGTATATGGCTATTTATTGATTTCGAATTTAGAATAAGCCATACCAGTTCAATTACAAATGAGGGCAATCTATACGTCTCAAAGTCTTGGTCATATATTCAAAACTAAAATTTGAATGATTTATGAAGATCATATTAGACATGTACCTTTTTCATTCTAGGAACCATTGAGCAAGATGATATGAAAATCAATTATAGTCCAAAATCCTGATCAATCAAGCAAATAATGCAGCCAACTATATTTTGCAGCTAATTTCCCACTTAAATTGGTAACCATGGTTAAGGATTTAGGTAAAAGTTTCATTAATATTATCAGTAAATTAGTACTACTAATTAGTGATTACCAATGATAATCCAAAATTTAGTATTCTACCATTGAGAAAAAACAGAAGTTGAGTGTTACCGGTGAGAATTTCCCAAAATAATTTGGATATAGTTAAAAGGATGCCCTGAAAGTGGGCCTAGATAATTAAAAAACACCGGGTTCGGGTCAAAATAACGCAATCCAAGCCCTCCTCATCCCAACACTTCACTCACACACTTTTTCTCTCCTCTTCATCTTTCTTCTCCCTCTCTCTTTCTCTCTCCTCTCCTTCGAATCAAGCTTTCATTAATGGCGGCCGAACTACAGCCTCCTGGATCAGGAACCCAACTCACAACCCTTCTTCCCGGAGCATCAGCAGCAGCACCTCAGAATGTCCCACCTTCATCGACCACCGAACCCAACCCCGGCTCAACTCTAGCCCCTAAACGGCACCGGCGACCCAGTGTCCGATTAGGCGACATCGGAGACCAACCCGCCACTCTTCGGACCTCCAGACCATGGCGGCTCAACCCCAACTCGCACCCACATCGAGAACATCATAACCCTAATAAATCCTCCAAGATTCGCCCGTTAACTAATCTTGTTGCCCCCATTAATGGAAATTTCGATTACTCCTCCGCGGAAACCACCGCAACCGCCGCAACAACCAACAATAACGGGGTAGTTTCTCACCGGAAGTTTCCGAAAGAGTTCAAATCTAAGAGGGCTACTAGTACTAACAGTTCGAAGAGGGTTCGAACCAATTTGAGGGTTGAAGAAGATGTTGAGGAGGAGGAGGAGAGAGAAAATGGAGGAGGTAATAATAATGATTTTAATGAATTTGATGAGGATATTGATGAAGATATTAACAAAAATAATAACAATGGGGAAGAAGGGTTTAGAGATTTCGACCCAGAAATTGATGGGCCTGAAAGCCCAATTAACTCAGGGGATGATGTTGGGGTTAATCTAGATATTTGGCATGCTCATAATCGAAGGTCAATTAGAGCAACTAGGGTTTCAAATTCGCAGCAAGAATTGGGGATGGAATCGAATTCTAGAAACAGAGGAAGTGGATTGGAAGAAGGGGTAAGGAAATGGCTGGTGGAATTGGGGTTGGGACGATACGCCCCGGTTTTCGAAATTCATGAGGTTGATGAGGAGGTGTTGCCATACTTGACCCTTGATGATCTTAAAGATATGGGGATAAATGCAGTTGGTTCTAGAAGGAAATTGTATTCTGCCATTCAAAATCTCAGGAAAGGTTTATCTTGACTCTTCAATTTTACTCAATTATATCAACTTTGTTGTTGCTCACTTTTTCTGTTGTAATATTTCCAAGTTTTTCTTCTTTTTTCTTTATAGTAATCCGTTGATAAATAATAATGATGATAGTAATAATGATTTCAATGCAAGAATCTCTTTTTTGGCGCAATTGATGTTTGCAGGGTGGTTGTTATGTCACATTGTTTTAGTATTTGTCTTGCATTGATTGATTGGTAGAAGTTGAGATGGAATGAAGTTCATTCTTATTGTGGAAATTCGCTTACCGGTTTTTGACTTGTCTTTTTTGCTCTATTTTGGGATTCACCTTTTTGTTTAAGCATCATTATTCAGGAATTTGCGCTTTTGTTGAATCGGGCTATGTAATGCCCACTTGATGTTTGTGAGTTTTGATTAGTGAGCTTGCTGCATTTTTTTTTTGGTGCAATGAGATGTTTGGTACTTAGTATACTGTAAACTCTTATGTTTTCTGTACAGTTTAGTGACTTCAGCCAAATTCTGAATGATTGTGATGAATGATTTTACCTGTTTATATTGCCTTTGAGTTGAGAACAGAAGTAGGTTATGAAGTGCCGATTTGCTATATGTATAACTCTTATACCCTGTCTTCCTAGAAGATCAAATGCTGCTGCTTGGTGCTGTGCCTTATATGATAAGTTAGTGCAAGACTGCCTATCATCAACAAAACTGTCTTTGAAACACGATATTTGAGTTTCAGTTCTTTGGGCAATGCCTGTATACTTTGAAAAACTGTCAATAGTTCTTTGAAACGCGATATACTGTCAAATGTGTCATATGCATATGTCATTTGTATGATCAAGTTAATTTTTATTTTAATTGTGGTTTCTTTTGTTTTCTCTCGGCTATAACATTTGGAAACAGAAGAATTCAGTTAACAAAGGCTTCCAATTTGACGTTATGCTATCTAATCGTTTCTAAGTTGTATGGTCATTCAAGATGCAACGTTAAAGTAGGATTTTTGTTTTATTTTATTTTTAAGTAGGAAGGGAGAAAACTTCTCTCCTATCTGTAATGATATATGCTGAAGATCTTCTTCAAACTTCTTTGTGATGCCTTAATTTACGACAATGTAGCTGCTATTAAACATTTACTTCTTACCTCTGATAGACGGATATACCTAGTATAGCTATAAATCCTGAAAATTGTTGCTCGTTTTCTTATTAGCTTAATTGATATAAGATATACGTCGAAGATTTTATTCAAACTTCTCTGTGATGCCTTAATTTAGGACAATGAGGTTGCTAGTGGACAATTACCTCTCTGATAGACCTAGTAATAGTTATCAATCCTGAAAATTGTTGCTCATTGTCTTATTACCCTAATTGATAATAGATATATGCTGAAGATCATCTTCAAACTTCTCTGTGATGCTTTAATTTACGAGAATGAGGCTTCCTCTTACCTTTGATAGACCTAGTATAGTTATTAATCCTGAAAATTGTTGCTCATTGTCTTCTTAGCCTAAATGATAAAAGATAACAGCATCCTGAAAGTTAAAAGCTATCTATTCTGTTCATATTGTTTTGCATGTTGTCCAAGATGAAGCAATGCATGAATGCATGATGTGATCCTTCTAAAAGGTTATTGTTTCAAAATTGAGCACAAGCTAGTTCTACGGGAACCATTTACATCAGTTATCCAATATACTTGTCATTGCAGGTAATTAGTCCCATACCTGTATTGAAATCTTGGCACATGGTTCTTTCAGCTGCCAATAATGGGAGGTGCATGCAATGTTCTATGTTTGTTAGTATTGGTACATTCCTTTGTGTAAATCATATGTGCAGGCAATTCACTTCATAATGAACTTATGCTAATTCTTCTGATCCGTTTACAGTTTATTCTACTGATGCCTAATTATGGCTGTATAGTTGTGTAAAATAGAATAGGTATCTAGTTTGTATGATTCACAATTATGTTCTGCATTATCTTAGAATCAGTAATACAAAATTTATCCCTGACGAACGGTTTTCACGTATGTTTTTCTCAACTCTTTCAACACGCACATCAGAATTGTGCAACTCTTTAGCCATTAAGTAACTACACATGCTGAAGCAAGTCTACCTGTGGTGTGATGTTAAGCAGTTTGACAATCAGTTGGCTTTAGGATGATGGTCTCATGGAAATAGGCAAACAGTCTTACTAATATGGGGTAAGGTTCTGTCATTTGAACCCATTACCCCACTCTAGTCATGGCAGCCTTGTTGATTTAAGGAATGGAATGTGCTATTTTGTCTATAGATAGCTTCAGGTAGTTCACTTATTGTATTTACGACGAGTACTATATAGTTTTAGACTAGCTTTTGTGGATCAATTTGCTGCAACTGTTCTGACGGTGTCAATAAAATTTAAGAGGTTCTTTTGAGTAGCTAGATGGTGTCATGGAGATACTCAGATACCTGGAAGGTTGGAAACTCATTGTTATTAATGATTTAATGCATTCCAAGTTTTTGGAAGAACTTGCAGTGTAATGGGCCCTTCTGATTATTAAGAGTAACCCTTTTGAAATACAAGGCCCAAGTGCTATAAACCTTTTGAAATACAAGGCCCAAGTGCTATAAAACTTTTGTCTATCTGGCTTAGCCAAGAAAAGTATAAGCCCATCAATTATAACTTACCAAGTATAGAATTGAATTATTAACATTCCTTGGGTTGTTGTTGCTATGGATCAGTTTCAGATGATGAACATGGTCTTCATAATGCAAATACTTTGTAGAACATAAACAACAGTTCTAACATCTGATTATTGGGTCTTATTACATGGCTCAGGAGAGGGAAAAAGGCATACTCGTACATGTACTACTTTTTTTTTTTTTTTTTTTTAATAATTAAGGTCAGTAGATTATTATTTATGTAAATCAAGCTTCGCCAAAGTAATACGTACTCCTTCATCAGACTTTGGGGGAATGCATCAAACCATACAGCTATACTACAAGCCTGGTGTTTGTTGTACAGTACCATTTAGTTGCCAAATGAGCGAGTGAGCGACAATGTTTCCCCACCAACAAGTCTGCAACCTAGTATTATCATCAAGCAAGAGAAAAGATGGTAGCAGACCCAAGCTTTTGAAGTTCGCTGCCTTGACCACCATGAAAGAGCATTTCAAATGAAGTCATGAAGGGAAAAGATGAGATATGCTTTGTACTACTTCCGTTTCATATTATTTGCAACTATTTTACATAAAATAGAGAGGAAAAATGTCTAATTGTTGCAAATAATATGAAACGTCGGTAGTATCTAATTTAATTATTCTTTCACACGAATTCACATGAATATTACATTGATCTCCCTCCTGAAAATTGACTTTTGTTTCTGGTAAAATCAGTTGACTTGTTTTGTGGCGTAAAAGGTCAACTTTGACAACTGCAAAATTTACAAATATACGTATTAAAAGAGCATAGTTGTCTTGAATTGGTTTTGTGGTATTGACTCAACAAATTATATACTCTATTTATTAAAAATAATGAACAAAGAGGATAAGTCAAATGCCATGCAATGTACTAAATTTTAGTTTGATGCAGTAATTAGAGATACGATGGTCGATGAAATCTACCTGGAAAGTGACATAGCACAGCGTTGAAGATTAGTACTCCGTAGTAATATTTTTATGAGAATGAAGCCAAGTTCATGCACTTAACTTCTAAACCTCCCCTTAATTGCTTAATTAGTCAATTAATATGATACTACGTATTTGATTATATAGAGATTTCATATCTTTAATGATGCTGAAAGTTTAAGCTAAATAATGCTTGTATAACTCGGCGCTCCGGCCTTTCTCTTGTATGGCTTCAATGCATGTTAACCACTACATGTAAAAATTAAATAATATAAAATAATACAGCAAATAATTTTAATAAAAAAAATTATACGATCTAAATCCATAATTTTGTTTTTATTTTTTATTTTTAACAATGTTGTTTTTAGACGGGTTTAGATTGCACCGCTAACAGAAAGAGTTCTCTACACATCTTCAAAAAGTTTCCATCTAAAAATTATGTGACAATCAGACGAGTAGCCCTAAGCCTTAACTTAACATTGAGAGTTTAAATGTTTGATGAGCAAAGCTTAATTAGCTTTAATTGTTAGTTTGAGTGGCTCAAGCGAGCCATGCTTAAACAAATTATTTCAACTTAAAACTAAACTCCACTTAGTTCATTCGTTTACCAACCCTATTTTTGCAAGAATGATGCGTCCCATACATCTATCTTTACACAAATCAAGCACTAATTACATATACAATCATATAGATAAGCACGTACATACATACAAGATAATCTTATGAAAAAGGGAAAGTAGCTAGTATAAGAAGAGAATAAATAAAATGTCCTATTATCGGACAATAAAATTTGTTTTATACAATTACAAGGTACCCCAAATGCCGAAAACACATACCTTACATAATGGGGTATTTAATTTGGTAGCTAATTAATTCATCCTACAACCTAAGCAAAGAAGGAAAATTACAATTGGAACTGTTAGGGAAAACTTCCTTTTTTTTTCTTTTCTTTTTTCCTTCTAATTTAAGGGTATTAATTTAATTGATCAACAACAATATTGATACAAGATGATGTTGTGGGGTTGGTTAATGAATAAGGAGAGATTAAAAAAAATAAGAATCTCCATAATTTATCGATTAATCGATCGATCTCGTAGTAGTAATTTAGTAACCTAGCATTATAATTGAGCATAATTAATTAATGTATTTAATTAATTAATTAGGTAGAGGTAGCGAGGTACTAGAAGAAGAAGTGCTTCTACCATAATTCAAAACCATGAGATGATCAGTTGTTGAGGAGTCAGGAAGTAATGTCACAGTCGTCACAGCCGCGTCACTTGAACTCCAAATATTGTCTCTTACATGCTGCAACGTCAAGTATGGTACTAGTTGTTGCCCTTTACACCTTATCTCTACCTGCATATAAACATTCCCATGCATAATTTATTATTTATTATATAATATATAATAAAATATCATATATTATAATAATCTTAAGTCTTAACAATAATGTTTATTCCTTTTGTCCTAAAATTAATTAATATAGATATAAGTAACAGATGGTACGTGCTTTTCATTCATATTCCTTGCTTATGACAGATAGAATGATAGATATTGAAAGTTATAAGATTAAGAAAAGTGGTTATTATTAAAAATATTGAATTATAGTTTATACATTATCAATTTCATAATCTCCATGAAATCCGCTTTAAAGTGACAGTTTTAAGAATTAAGATGAGTAGTAGTGTTTAGTTGTGAATTAGCACTAATTTGTCAACTTTAAACAAATTAAGTCTTACTCATAAGAGCCTATGGATTGAATTAATTAACAAGTTCAGGGAAAGTCATACTATTATATCTATATGGTGTGTATATAATTTATTGCCTTATTAAGTGTCAATTCTATAGAGAATATGAGCATCTTGTACTAAATCAAATTTCCATTATTCAATAAGATGATTATTCTTTGGACCAAAAACAAATATCAATCAAAATATACTTGCATTATTCTTCTAGATTTAAGAAACAAGAAAGAAGAGTCTATTTTTCCCGACGGAAAAAACAAGAAAATTTGAGATTATTGGAAAAAGGAAAGAAAAGAAAAGATAGAACTAGAGAAAATCCTAACACGAGGTGATGACCATGTAAGATTTGTTGTTTAGAGTGAGAGATGGTTTAAGTGGTTAAGACTTTCTTCCTGATTTCAAAAGATTCTAAAACCGATTCTATAATTTGTCCTTATTGCTCTCTAAACACCAAAAAATAAAATGGTTGCCACTTCAACGCCTCTAGCAATTGGTCACATAGAGTAAAACTATAGTTGACTACCCTTTTTGATAATCAGTCTAAGGACACAAGTAGTCCTTAATGATGGATTATTATTAATCATGGTCATAAACTTATGACTTTGACCATTAAGCTCTATTACCCCATACTATTATAAAATAATAATCAACCCAAAGTATTTCTCAGTTTCACAACGAATTCAAAAGTCATATATTCACACACCACAACTTTGAGTGTGTTGGCCTACAATTCTGGAAGGAGCTAATATTCAAGATTGACTACGGAGTAGTTTCCCCTTATGAGCCAACATTATTAGAATTACTTTGCTACTTAGGGCCTATTCTCATACGTTTATTTTCAGTTCACTTCAATTCAATTCAGTTTAGCTTTTAATTTCCTTCTCTTATATAATATTCAGTTCAGTTCAATTCAGCTCAGCTCAGTTCAGCTGAGTTCAGCCTATGAGAACAGACCCTTAGTTTAAGAGAAAGGGAGTAGCTTAATTTGTTCGGACCATAGTAGTTCAACTTTCTATTTTACATATTAGAAGAGTCTTATTGAGCATATATTGGAAGAGTCTTATTAAGCATATATATAGGTTGGTGTTTGGTAAGAAGTTTATTGGGGCATGCAGAACCGCCCAATTAGTTTATTTGACCAATATAATAGCTGTTTGACTACTATAGAAAGCTAAATAATTGGAGCATTTGGTGGCGAGGTGATTCCAAGAGTTTATTCCACCAAATATACTCATTTTCAATAAGTTTGAAGGAGCTTTTCATTAGCTTATTCAAGTATTTTAAGGTGCAATAATAGTTATATCTTAATTAATTTAACACAAAATCCTACCACAATAAATATGTCTATATCTCAAAAAAAAATGTAAGAAATTGACCAGTTAAAATCAGCTAATACAATCAATTTCAGCTTTTCACCAAACATGGTCATATATTTCACGAGTTTGTGGATCATATAACACCGCCTCGATGTTAAAAGTGTCTAATGGTAAAAGTAACAAAATTTAGATCAAACAACGCTCCGCAACCTTAATTATCAGACACGAAGTAGTAATTAAATTGTTTGATTCCTATAATAAGAACAATTACTTTGAAACAAGAAAAACCCAAAATTAGGAGGCAAGTACCACCTCAACTACTACTGATAGTGAACACCACCATTTTTACAAATAAAGCCAAACACACTACTTGTGCTCTTTATTTGACGTTAACAATACTATAAACATGATCAATTTTTTTTTGTTTTTTGTTTTTTTTTTTAAAAAAAAAAGAAAAACACACAATTACTGCATAGTAATGAGATCACCATTGTGACAAGCTTACGTCATTCATGCTAAAATATTCTAGCTAAAAATACTTTTTTTTTGTCGACGTCAAAATCATCATAAAAAAGAAGTGATCTCCTAAAGTTATAATAGTTGATGATCCTCCAAAAAAAAAAGTCTAAATTTCTCCCGACAAAACGAGGCAAAGCACTACGGTCAGCGGTCAGCCGCTTAATTAAAAGATACGATTGAATAATTAGGGTAATCACTAATAATATTATCACAAAACTATAGACTAAAATTAGTGGAGTATTAATCTGCCCGCCATCCCACGATCAAAAGTTTGCCCGAGTTTAAATCATTACATGTCCCACCCATACTTTGCTCGTAAGCCAAAATCATCATCTCTTATGACTTTTCATTTTTATAACTCACACATACATTATGTGCATATATACACTATTGCTTTCTCTATCCCTTTACACATACTCGTAAAAAAAGACAGGCGTACAATGTATGTAGTAGGGCGGATATAAAGTTTCTCTAAAATAATTTAATGATACTATGTGTATCGAATTGTTTTACTGATAAAGTTATCCTCTTTCACTCTTTCAGTGTATCATTTTAAACATAAATTTCTTTACTATTTTTTGTTCCTTAAAAAATCACTCCTTGATACACAAAGATAATAAACAATAGGTTAAAGTTCACTCAAAACTAATTTAAAATTAATTTCCTAGTCTAAAACGTCATACTCATAATTTAATAGGACTTCTTTTTTCACTGTCTCAAGAGATTTTATTTTTATTTAATTTCTTTTATCAAATAAGGAGGACTTTGTATTATTTCCTACTGTAGATTTTTCCATTTATATATAATAAAATGATAAATTAACAATAATAGACAAAGACAAATTTATCCAAATACTATATGATACTCGTACTATATTATTGAAGTTTTCTCCCAAAAAAAGTCTAATTTTAAGAATTGAAATTCTGAATGGAGTATGTATAAAAGTAGATAATAGGATCCACAAAGCACGGCGAGGAATCGGCAAAAGATTTTGTAACACTTTTTCTTGTAAATTTCTTCAACCTTTTCTAACGTCTAAAAATACATACATAATAAAACCTAACTTTCATGGTATACACTATTCATCTTTCATTGTCATACAATTTTTTTAATGGAAAAATTCCATGCACGTCGTATTCACGTTGTAGTTATCATTCATGAGAAACCCTAGAACTTTGCCAAGGGTCAATCTAATTCCACATATTATACCAACTTGTCTTTTCATCCTTTATCTCACTTAATTTCTCCCATCTACCTTACATTTTTTTATCTTTTCTATACAATTAAGCAACGTCATCAATGTACATTTAATAGGTCATCTTACGTAAACCAACTTATTTCCATGCTCGTTAACAACTTAACAATGTACTACTTCGTAGAACTAACTACCCCTTAAATAAGATTGTTAATTTTATGTAATGCTTACTTAAGTAGATAAGGGATGAAGCTCTTGCTTTTTTTTTTTTTTTTTTTTTTTGATCTTCCTCTTTTTCTTTTATGATTGTTTCGTATTGGCTTTTACGCTTGTACTCCATACTATTTATATACCAATGTATGTAACTACTTGAAATAATTTTGAAATAATTTTATGAATATAAATTTTTATACTTGTATATATCAATTAATGTCATTATATATTTCCAAAAACTTAAAGTTTTTTATTTGATTAGATATTAGTGTTTCAAAAATATTATTGTCAATGTTACCAGATGTTATTAAGAGTGTAAAAGTCAAAAACTATAATAATAAAGTGACAAAGAAAATACTTAGTATATCATAAGAGTCAATCCATCTTTCCAACAAATTAAACTAATGAAGCCCTAATACTTTATATATCATTTAGATTGAATATTCAACATCTAATAAATTACTTATCAACCTAAATTAAAATAATTGATGATCTACTTAAAAGATAAAACATCAAAGAGCATTATGCATTCTTTCTTTTTTTCTTTTTTTTTTCCCTTCTTTTTCCTTCCCTTTGGTTCAAGAAGGTGTGTGTTGGTTACATTGATAGAAACAATTCATTTAGATTTAGAATTCCACTAACAATCGAACTCTATAAAAAGAAAAAATAAAACAAATATTTTGACCTTATTTGACAATTAGCTTCACCCTATTATTTATACTACGATTTTTTTTTCTTTTATTAAACGGGAATAAATCAAGTAAACCACAACACCAAATACCTCATAATCAAAATTTATTTAGTGAAACCTTATAACTCCTCATTATCTAACCATCTAAGGCAAAATTTGTGGGACGGAAGAGCTAGAATAAGAGATCCTAGAGATGATATATGGAGGGGCCAACCATAGATAAAACAATCTAAGGCATCTAGTAATGTACGGACTAAGTGCGTATGCTACAGAGAAATTAAAGAAATAATTGGATGAATGAATTATGATTGATGAGTGTAAATAATCGAAAGCATGACGAAGAAGATCTTGCTACATACATAAACTTTACAATAGAAAGGCATGCAAATGGGCTGCTTCACGTAAAAGCCTCCACGTGTACTTTTTTTTTTTTAAGGTGCCTATGCATTTCCATACTACTCGTAAATAATTAAATAATATTAATGGTGTTGATGATTTTTTATGATGGATGTAATAGTTCCACAACTATTACTAATTATTATAAATATCATCAACTAAATCCCTTTTTTTTTTTCTTTTTTCTCCTAATGTCTTCATTTCTTGTTTAATTTTGAGTGTCAACGAACTAATCCCAAAACATTAGATAATGCCATAAATATATGATTGATTCTTCTATAAATGCACTTTTATTCACACATCTCATTAAAAAAAAAAAAGTCAATGCACCCATAAAAAGAAATATATTATATTATAATATAGTAAGCTACTACTATGTAATTAAGTAGGAAAAGTGATATAATTAGGGTTAAGGCTAGATATATCAAACATGCTCACTTTTCTTATAATTATAATATTATCTTTATATTTTTTTTTTTGCTTTCCCGTGGCATCCTACCATTATTGTTTACAAGACTCTTTTTCATGTTTTGATGATGATATATCTCAGTGCTTCTCGATCAAATTATTATTATTTTTTATTCATATAGTAATTTATAAGGGGGTAATCATCATGATGATTGATATGATATATGCATATAAGTACAACACGTTTGCGTGCGGAATATGAACAAAAATCATCATGCCATTCTAGAAATTATGCACCATAATTTCATTTTTCTTTATTATATATAATGAGCTACTATTTTATTTTATTTCATTGTTTTACTTTTGGGAAAAAAAAAAAAAAAGCAAGGTACTTATTTCAAAAGATAAATTTCTAGGTATCAATATGCATGAATTAGGTTGGGATGAGTGGGTATATGATTAGAGACCGTGAATTGCGGTAAAATCAAGTAAGAGTATTTTTCAATTTGTAAAAAATAAAAAATAAAAAAATTAAAAGAGAATATAATGATTGGTACTATAAGTTGCATGCCATATCAGATTTTGGGAATTGGGTGACTAGAGAGTTTTGGCCGTGAAATTATATCTTGTGTTGATACACAATCTTTCTATTTTCTTTTACGCAAAAAATGAATTTACTTGAGTTGCAAGAACTCATTGTGAAATTACTATAAGCAGACTCTGGGATTTTGATTGATATTTTGAAATTCGACCTTAAGTGATATAATGACGACTAGTATTGCACCTTATTTACAATACAACACTCTTGGTTACTACTCCAAATCTCCAAAACCTAAAAATAAAAGAGATAGTTTTACTTACGCTATATTATTCATGGCTAAGAGTCTATCAACTATCAAGGTCGGCTTTTGCCTTGTCAACGGTACATCATACAGTTGTATAGTTAGGGCGAGGACACCCAACGTCCCAACATATCCTTAGAGGCTATCTAAAGGGTATGTATGTACAAGAGTATGACAAGAGAAGTAATGTTTGGCTAATTGGCTTGCATGTCCAGTTGGTAGACTAGCTTAAGGATTAACAAATGATTTTCTATATAAAAAATAAAAACCTTACTATAATTTGGTGATATTATGATTTTCTATATTACTGGCAATTAAGCTAGTTCAATATAATAAGAATACCTATACTATAATTTGGTGATATTATGATTAGAAGAAAGAATATTGATATTGTCACACATTCTATTAGATTAGAAAATTTGAAGTTACATGATTAATTTTACGTGGGATGAGTTGATCACATCCTTGATGAAGACGACAAGACAACCAAACGATCACAACTTATATATAATTAAGTGAGCTTAAACAAGATAGATTTCAGATTCTTGATTGGTACGTAAGAATATTTTTCTGATCATAAATGTAAATGAATGATTGCTACAATATTATCCTTTGGATTATAATTTCACGTAAGACGACGTATATAATTAAGGGTTGACTTGATGATTATAAAAATATTAGGTAGCTAGCAAGGGGAGAAGAATAAAAAGGAATGTTTGGAGTATTTTCATGCATTCCTCTTCTTAAGCTAAGTCAAGACAACGAAACACTTTAATTATTATTTATATATAATTATAGTTGTTTGGTAAGGAATAAATATTATATGGAGTATTATATATATATAACATAATTTTAATTATAACGAAGGTTTTCGTAATAATCTTGTTTGTATGAAAGTATCAAAACATGACATAATCAAACGCAAGAATCTATAAGATTATGCATCTATTCATATATTAAACGTTGAAGAACTTCTGCCGTCGTTGTAGTAGTTTGTTGCCTTGTTTATTTTAATTGTCGTATAAATTATAATGTAATTGTTTCACCACTAATCTTCTTTTAATCCTAGAAATAGGTTTGATCTGCAAGGGAAAAATGAGTACATGAAGACCAATTGTGTTATTTTAATTCTTTGACTTTTGTACGGGTTTGTAGTTGTTTCTCTACTTGATCAATTGATTGCTTGATAATCTATCTTTTCGTTTTTTTGACGTGCTAGAAAGACACAATACATTGATAAATCAACTAATTACTACGGAGTATAGATATGTTTATTATAATATTTTCTTTATACGAAGAATATATTTTTTTTTTATATGAAATTCTATAAGTATATATTACGTAGTACTTTTTCTTTTCTTTTTTTTTTTTTTTTTTTTTTTTTTTAAGATGAAGTATTTCCTACTATAGATACTACTTATTTGCACCATTGTAATATCGTTGGTATGTTAATATAATGTTTATTTTTTGGAGAATTAAAAGAAATAATTCTAATCTAGGCTTACTAGAGTTTGTTACTACATGCACATATATAAATAATACTTGCCGGCTAGCTTGAACAAGTCAATCCTATGTTAGTTGCATGTAAATTAATTAACACAGCAAATATAGTTTCAGACATGGAAGGTATAGCCGAATAGATGGTGTGCGAGGATATGATCTCTAATCATCTCATTATGATTAAAGTAGTAAGTATATATAGTAATTACTAATAACTAATTGCTAATTAAAATTAGAAGTTTGGTATTATTCTCTATTAATCATTACTAGGATGGTAGGAAATTTTAAGAATATTGCATGAATATGAACATACGTAGTAGTAGAATTAGATAATGTTCCTTGGACAATGTATTATGTGATGCACCTTATTATTAGTATCGCATGATAATTGATTATTACTATTATTGTACCTTAAATTTATACATAATAATGAATGTTTTATTCCAAAAAAAAAAAAAAAAAAAAAAAAAAAAAAATTAGCATGAATTCTCCTAGCTACTCCATCCGTCCCTAAATTACATTCCTGTTTTCCTCTATTATGTGAGGAATAAATGATAGAAATAGGAATGTAATTTAGGAACAGAAGGAGTAGAAGATATGACTAAAGAAGAATGGTTAGGATATAAGTTTAATTAGTGTTTCCATTAGTTAATTTGAAAAAAAAAAATTGTGTTATATATGTCTTCTGAAAGGAGTGATTATTTTTACGTTTTACTTTTGGGAATGAGACTTGTTTTTGTTCTTGTGTTTTAATGGTTTTAACATTAGTATGGGTTTTTATAGATACTTCGTATTTAGTTTCAAGGCTTTATTAAGTAAGTAGAAAATACAAGTATTGGGGTAGGAAAACATGTATGTAGGATTACATATCTCAGATCTCAACTGTTAAGCTCTAGCTTTCAAATCCTACGCTATGTGATGAGATTCGTTATACTACCTCCGGTCCAAATTTCTCCCAACTTTGGAATATTTTATATCTCACAAATAATACCCTAAAGTTGCAAGTAACTTGGAGCAGAGGTAGTATAAAAGAGACTGAAACGTGGTGAGTAGACTAACTTGAGCTAGAATTTTAATACATCAAAATATAGATTATGTTATTGTCTTTTTTATAATTTGTATAATACTTGTAACTTATTATAAGATTGTACAATTATATTTGAAATAAATAGCTCAATTAGCATTGTCTTTTAATTAATTTCCTAAAATCATGGCATATGAACACACATTGATGGAGTTTATTTTTTAATTAGGATTTACTCACTTTCACTATTCGTGTTTGCAATTTTTTATTTTCAGTTCTTTTGCCTAAGCTTGTCAATAATGACTGAATTTCTTCTCACTATGTTTTCCACTTTCCAATTTTTTTTTTAGCTTCTTCACTTTACATGTTGATTATGTGCATTGAAAACAATAAAAAATCCTCACCAACTCCTCTCATTTTAATTTTGGTGAATTGTTATTTTGGAAAATTTTGTAAAATAAATTGATAAGAACTTAATCGAGATGTTGCTTTCTAGTGAAATAAATGAGTGTAAGGTGAAGGGCATAGACATATATATATAGTAATATCCCCTTGAAGAAGGCATATATATATATTTGAGAAAATTACTTTAAACATATATGTGAATCAAATAATAATTTTATTTGTTTTGAGGTAGGAAGCAAATTAAGATGGTGATAGGTAGTTCTCTAACCTATATATCTCCATTTTCTACTCTTAATTACAACGAGTGCTTAATTAATCAACATAAATGACTAAATACACTAACACATTAATTAATTAATTACTGCCCAAAGCATGCATGAAAGCTTAGAAGCAATACAAACTCGAGGAGCGCATTTCCTAGATTAGATACACAGTAATTGATACGTAGCTTAACTTAGCCCCCCCTAATAAAACAAAAAGGAGATTGCAACCTAGAAATCTACTCACCACCTAAACTAAAGTTGTGGCACTATCGGACTCCTTAATTCTCTATCATGTATCATAACTCAATGAATATCAGCTATCTTAATCTACTTAAGTATAAGGAGCTAATAATAACCAACATTTATTTAAGATCAAATTTTATCTACTGATACGTCTTTATTCTTTGTGGTTTTCTCTACGCCTAAAAAAACAATACACTTCGATTTATATATCCCGTGGAACTAATTAATTAGTTCTTGATTTTCCCTATATCACTTATCATTCCTTATGTAGTAGTGTTTGATCGATGTTTCTAACACCATTTGCATTGACAACACCCAAAAAGCCCCAAAGATGATTTAGTACTAATTGACTAATGATGAACTAAGTGATCAAAGTATGTGAACGAACTAGGTTTTGATTAAATCATTATCATTGTAATAGTACGTAGAAGAAATTAAACATATATGATTTAATTGATTTACCTCTGATTCGCTATCCAATCCAAGCTTGTTAGCCACATACTTCATCACTAATCGAACAGTCATCCTCTCATCCCTAATCAAACAAACAATCAATTAACTTCAATTAAACCTTAATTAATCATCATTTGTTTTTACAACCAAGAGAAAAAGTTAAAAAGAAAATTACTTGATTCGGAGAAAACTCTTGGATACTTGAGGTAAAAACGGTTCTTTTGATCTGGGTACGAACCAAATTAAGCAACAAATTATACCCATTAGTTTATATTGTAGAATATTATTACAAATAAATAAAAATAAAAATCGAGGTAGGTAACAAAGCTTACTGATGGAGAGAAGCTTGAAGAGCAAACCAAATGCCAGTATGAGGTCTCCTAGGAGGAGGATGTAATACTCTGAATTCGGAATCTACGGCAACTACGGATGACCCGGAAGGTGTAAATGGGCGGGTTAAAAACGAACCTGAACCCGAACCCGCACCAATTTGTGCAGGTGGCATGGACGAAGATGAAGATGGAGATAGAGATGATGAACACCCTGCGGCTGCTGACAAAGCCGCTCTCTGATTAGCAAAACCCCAACCCGTCTGATGTTGTTGTTGATGATGAGATAGGAGCTGTTGAGGTTGTGGAATAGAGGCTATTAGAGGAATCATAGGATGATGTTGTTGATGAGAGATGTAAGTAGTTGGTGATCCAATAACACCTCCACTAGTAAACAAATTATTACTAGTTGTAATAAAATGATGATCACATGATTTTTGAGGGATTATTCTTTGCTCTAACCCCGGTATCATTAATGGTATTCCGCCACTGCTTCCACCTCCTCCTCCTAGGCTGAGCTCCAGCATCAACCCACCCGCGCTTCCTCCCATGTGTAACGACGATGACATCGCTGGATGTTGTTGTGGAAGCGGAGGAGTATCCACATGGGTCGTCCTACCTAGACCTAACTGCAGCCAGCTGCTGCTGCTGTCAACGATACCCCTTTGATGATGGTGTGGAGGTGGGGGAGGGGTAGGGGTATCGTCCCGCCCCTTCATGGAAGTAGAAGAGGCGGCGGCAGCGGCAGCAGCAGCAGCTGCCTGCTGATGATCACCATCATCGTTAACACTAGTACTGTTAGAAGTTCTAGAGTGGTCTTCCTCAGCCATACGAAAAATAATATTATGGTAGGAGTCGTAATTATTATTATTAGGATAACCAATCCCTACGTTATCAATATCTAGCTTGCTATTAGCAATAATGTCGGTATTACCAGTAACAGTATTAGTACGAGTGTTGCCGTCGATGACGCTATCATAACCAACATAGCCAGCAGGAGCACTGCAGCCATCGGCGAATCGAGTCATGACATCGGCACCAGCACCACAGCCACCATAAAAAACAAGATGTGGTTTGGATAGTTTAGGAGCAGGAACCATAGTCATATCTTATAACAACAAAATAATAATAATATTAATACTAATAACAATAACAATAATAATAATAATCCAACCACAGTACCAAAAGCTGTTTAAATTTCTTGAAAAATCACTAGTTGATGAAATTCTGCAACTTTTGTTGGTAGCTTGTTGTTTTTCCATCAGCACGCCGACTAATTCGAATTATACAACACAACAAACTAATATCGAATTAGTAAATGTACATGTACAGATTGTACACCATCTACTTGTACCCATTTATTTTGGATTCGTAATTAATAAAAAGGCTTTCTTTAGATTTATTAGATTGCTTCTCTTTCAATTTTAATTTCAAGAGAGAGAATATCTAATTTTAATAAAACAAGATAGGTGCTGAAAAATCTGGGTTAATTCTCTTACTTTGGAAGTTTGTGAGTTGTGATTTCGAGCTTTTTATGAGGACGTGAGATAGATCCATATTGGCGACCACTTCTATTTTTTTATTTTATAATATATTATAATAAATAAATAAAATTGTCACTTTTTTCTTTTTTTGGAGGGTTAAGGATTGTTTATAAATAAATTAAAAGAATATTTGGGGTAAGAAGAGTAATCAATCAGTGTAGGGGAAAAGAATAGTATGGAGTACTTTGATTTCTTTATTTGACTTTATAAAGACCAAGTATTTATTCGAAAAGAGGATGGATTTTTATTAGGGATGTCGTTCAAGAGGTCAATATATATACTCTAAAGTTCATTTCTTTTTAGGATATCTCTTAAAAGTCCCTTTTCTTCTTTTCATTCATATTTTTTTTAATCATATTTTATATTAAAATCATTAAATCCATATTTGATAAAAAAAAATATACAATTCAAGATGAACAAATAATTGTTGTTTTAAATATATTAGTATATTACAAAGAGTGTAAAATCAAAACGTTATAATTGTAATACAAAATTAGAAGAAATTTCGTTTAATTTTTGAGAAATAACATGGAAAAAGGTTTTCTCTCACCGCTTACTTCATAATACATTCCTTTCGTTTTGATTTTCCTATTAACATTATCCTTTTTTATGTTAGGTATAGGACCATTATTGTCTTTGATCACATCTAAATTTTTATTTTTTAAAAAAATTCTCACAATACTCACATGCATTCTTCTCTATTTTAAAATTTATAATTAAGAATTCATTATTTCCAATCCCATATACTACATTTTCATTAGTAGAAAATCACTCATTGCCTCCAATCACATCTCATTTTCAACCATACTATATGTAAAGGCCCACCAAAACACTTTCCTAAAACATTTGGCAAACTTCAAGTGCATATATATATATTGTGAGTATATACTTGTATGATAGAATCTCATCAAGCAATACAAGTATTATATCACTTTCATATCAATGTTATTATGTACTTCATGTTAGAAATATTATGTACATAAATAAATTTGCATGGACATTTCACCACACAAAAATGTACTCCGTATGAACTAATCACTCTATTAAAAACCGAATAATATGAATAGTATAAAAGGCAAACTATATCGACATAATTCATCATAATTAGCAAGTCAATACGTATCTCATGTAGAGACGACAGAAACCATTAATTAGTCCTATCAAACTAAAACAAGTGAAATCTGAAGAGTTCCATTATGGAAGAAACTGCAATAATCATAAGGCTAAGGAAGTGATAGCCGAAAAGAAAAGAGAAAAAAAAGGAAGGTTGATCACGTAACTTAGACGCGCGGCAACCAGTAAGATGTGGACTTAGCGAGTAATCTGGGCCAATCAAATTCAAATCATCACAATAATGTCTTGATTGTTTTACTGCATGGACTTTTCATATCCAATTTGATTAGAGAGAATAATGCATTCATCATACTTATTATTCCTAGCTACTACATACACTATAAAGCTTAGATTTTACTCCCTAGATTTTTTTCAATCAACTAACACATGTTGTATTTACTTCACTACATCATATATACGTAAGTGAATCCTGTTCTTTTCTGGATAGAGCAGTACAGAGCATGTGTCAGCAACAAAGCATACCACATCAACTTAAAAGAACAGGGTCTTACGGGAAAAGTCTACACATACAATGGTTGTATGTGGTGGCCCATCACATACAACCATTGTTGACAGCATTTGATTGGTTTGCATTTTGGGGTCCACTTCCCCATCTTATTTTCCCCTATTTTTTTCCTCTTATTTTTTTCCTCCCTTTTGACATGGCATATATATAATGGTATTATATGTGGGTTACCACATTGTCCGCATACAACCATTATATGTGTAGCATTACTCGGGTGTTACGGATTGAATATTGCCTTAGAAAAAAGTGACAAATAATTATATGTGTCATCCAAACATGCAAAGTACTTCGTATATAGAAATGGAAAAGGAGTGCCTGTCTAGGCCATACTCTAAACTCATACAATAGTCGATGGAGTATAAGGTAGTGGACCTAGCAAATTAGCAATGCAATGAAGAAATGATGGTGCTAGCTGTGCATGTCTTGTAGTACTAGACTACTAGATAGTACAGCAGTACTAGTAGTAAACTGGTGATAAAGCTAGCATGATGATACACATAAATTACTAATAAAGCTGAATCAATTTTGTTTTAATATATACCCTTTCATACAAATTTTGTTTTAATACTCCGTACTATCTATGGATAAAATTCTAAGTATGGAAATTTCTATTTTTTTTTTTACAACTTCAAACATTACTATAAATTATTGAATGGCAAATTTTATTTTTTGATTTTCTTACCAACCTGAAAGAGTGTTACAATGTTTTCTAATGACTTTGTTTTGCTCGCCTTATTTTTGTTATGGGTTTAAATAAGAATTATTAAATTCAAGTATTTTTTTTTTTGAAAAAAAAAAAAGTAAGTTTTGATATGGGTTAATTATCTATGTTTAATTTATATTTACAATAAGTTCTAATATATAATCTCTAATAACTTCATGTGAATAAGATAGGGTGTTGTTATTCGTCGCTCCCATTTTACCGGGTAACGCTCCCTTTTTGACTTGAAATTCCAATTTTACCCCTAACATTTAAATACGGTTTTTTCCACTTCCCGACCAACATTTCTCACTTTCTTACTTCTCTCTCTAACTATCTTACTCTCTAACTCTCTAAAACACTCTAAAAATCTGGAAAAAAAAAATTCCAAAAATTTTTCTTCAATTTTAAAAAAAACAACAATCATAAAAAACACAAAAAAAATGGGTGATTCGAGGCGGATAAGGCTGACATTCGGAGGGAGGAGCTTTGGCGGCGGTGGAGGCGGAGGCGGAGGCGAGCAGGTGAAATTTTTTTTTTTTTTTAATTACGGATCGTGGAACTTCCGCCCAAAAAATCCGGAAGTTCCATGGAGGATCCGCCTGGAATTTCCGGATCCTCCTTGGTACTTTCGGATTTTAATTATGTTATGAACTTTTTTTTTTTTAAATGTAATGTATAAACCGGACACTTATTTATTTTTATATTTTATGTTTTATTGCATATCATGTTAGATTAAAAGTAAATACATTTAACATTAAT